TGTCCAGGAGGCTTCCGAGCCGAGACCCAGGTTACTCAGTGAAGGAAAGAAGAATTGGAGTTTGGCGGAGTGGGGACACAGGGTCAGTGTTGGTGAAAGGTATGGTCCATTTGGGAAGGAGAGTGGGACTTGACGGATAGGATGGGTGAACAGGAAAGGTGTTTTAGATAGCAAGAGCAGGGGCAGAGAGCTAAGAAATCATGGTGCCTGTATGTGTAATGCTAAGAAATCCAGTCTAGCTGTGTGAGGGAAGGTGTGATGGTTACTTTTATGTCAACTTGATTTGTGCCTAGATGTTTGATCAAACATTGTGTTGGGAGTGTCTGTGAGCATGTTTCTAGAAGAGAGTGTGCAAGGCAAGTTGCTGTTCCTTATGTGGGCGAGCCTCATCTGATCAGTTGAAGGCTTGCGTAAAACATGAAGGCTGACCCTCCCCCAAGTAAGGCAAAAAATTTTTTCTCATTTTCAGACTCAAGCTAAAACACGAATTCTTTCTTTTTTTCCCTTCTGGTACTGGGGATTGAATCCAGGGGTGCTTTGCCACGGAACTACATCCACAGCCCTTTTTATGTTTTATTTTGAGCCAGGGTCTCACTAAGTTGCTGAGGCTGGCCTTGGACTTGCAATCTTCCTGTTTCAGCCACCCAGGCTGCTGGGATTATGGGTGTGCACCACTGTGCCCTGCTCAAACAATGAGTCTAAGCATCAGCTCTCCTGGGTCTCAGGCCTTTCAACTTGGACTGGAATGACAACCCTTGACTGTCCTGGATCCCCAGCTTGCCCACCCATCCTGCAGACCTTGGGACTTGCCAGCCTCTGTAATTACATAGGCCAGTTCTCTGCCTGTCTATGGATCTTTATATCTGTTTACATCCTATTGGTTGGTTTCTCTGGAGAACCCTGCTAATACCAAAGGGAAATAGCAAGAACTTAGAATAGCAAGTTGGTGCCAGACTGCGGAGGCCCAGTATATATGCCCAACTAAAGAACTTTGAATCTTCTTCTGAAGACAAAAGAGAAAACCAAGGAATGACTCATTGGAGCTGAGATCTGTGAAGGTGAATGTTTCCCTGAGTAAAATGAATTAAAGCACAGATTCTTAAAGGAAGCCTCTAGAGACTGGACCTGAGTTTCATGGACATAGAGTCTACAAGGCAGAAAAGGTTGGGTTCCCTTGGATGTCAAGGGTACAGGAGCCAAGTACAAATAGAGGTCCTGTAGCACCTGCAGAAGATAGGAATGGAGGACAGACTTGACAATGCTAGTGGAACCTCGGAGAAGCTGGGGATTTGGAAATGGGGGTGAGAACAGGGGCTGGAGGAGGTAGAGATCTGGGAGTTCTCTGCACAGAGGGTAGTGACATATTACACAGGGCCCCTGGGGGACAGGGATTGCAGAATCTTGGATTGTAAGAGAAACGTAACTCCACCTGGTTCAGGCAGCAGAGGGAATTTGTAGGCTCATATGACCAAAAACTGAAGCAAGACTGGACCCAGTGGCTCATGCAAGGTTACTGGGACTTGGTTTTACATCTCATCTCCGTCTCTCTGCTCTGCTTCCCCCCTCTGCCTTGGTCTCATTCTCAGGCAGACTCTCTCCTCCCTGTGGGAAGCTGGCTGCCAGTAGTGCCACCATCACACACAGCTCCCAGCAAATAGATCCATTGAACTGGACAGTTCTGTCCAAGTTCCATAACTGGAGCTTATTGGATCACATGCCAGTTGTTGAAATGCAGCGGCAAAGGGTCTTTCTACAGTGCTCTGATTGGCCAAGCCTGGGTCACATGTTTGTCCCTGCATATAGGGACAGGGTCTTCTCTTCTAGTGGTACTTAGATTGAGAGTGGAGGCAGGGGCTCCTCCAGGAGAGATGGTGGATATTGGAATGCGATCCACAGGCAAAGGGGAGCTGGAGGCTCACGGGCGGCTCCCCAGTTACTAGGAGAGAGAAGCTGGAGTCTGGGCTGGCAGCACAGCAGAGGTTGGGGTCAAATAGTAACACCTTTCTAATTGGGGTCAGTGAAATGTCAAGGAGAGACTGACAAAAACCTAACGAAGTGCTAAGTGAGTTCCTGTCCTCAGAATAAAGGCAGGAAAAGCCTAATAGCTGATACTGCTACTAGGGAAAGGGCAGATTTTGTTTGGGAACATTCATGGGATTTTGTGACATGGGATGAAGGAAAGGGCAGTGCCTTGTGGAAGGAAACACCACATCCCCCTGCAGTTTAAGAAACTAAGCTTATACATTTATGATAGTCAAAAATCACAGTAGCCTGGGCTAGAGATGGTGCAGCTCAGGGGCAGAGCATTTGCTTAGTATGGAGAAGGACTTGGGTTTGATTACCAGCAATGAAAAAGAATTTTATAATAGCCCAAACTAAATTCCAACAGTAGGAGATTGAGTAAATATTGTAATGCCCACATAGTAGAATGAGCCATTACAAATGATGCTTTATTTGACTTGGAAAGACGTCCATAGTGTAGTTTTTGAGAGAAGGAGCTTACAGTTTTATTTTTCTGCAATAAATGTATATCCATAGAAAAATGCATACTGTGAAAACATGTATACCAACATGTTCACAGTTGGTATCATTAGGTGTGGTACTACACAGAGGCTTATGATTTATTTTAAAAAATATATATTTTAAAAGTATTTTTTAATTGTTGATGGACCTTTATTTTATTTACTTGTATGTGGTGCTGAGAATCGAACCCAGTGCCTCACGCATGCTAGTCAAGCACGTTACTACTGAGCCACAACCCCAGTCCCTTAAATATATTTTTTAATATTTATTTTTTAGTTGTAGTTGTCAATACCTTTATTTATTTATTTATTTTTGTGATGCTGAGGATCGAACCCAGGGCCTTGCACGCTCTAGGCAAGAGCTCTACCTCTGAGCCACAATCCCAGACTGGCTTATGATTTCTTTCTTTCTTTTTTTTTTTTTTAAAGAGAAAGTGAGAGAGAGAGAATTTTTTTTTTTTTAATATTTATTTTTCAGTTTTTGGCTGACACATCTTTGTATTGGTGCTGAGGATCGAACCCGGGCTGCACGCATGCCAGGCGAGTGCTCTACCGCTTGAGCCACATCCCCAGCCCAGGCTTATGATTTCTTTAGAATAAATATGCTGAGGGCTGGGATTGTGGCTCAGCGGTAGAGTACTCGCCTAGCACGTGTGGGACGCAGGTTCAATTCTCAGCACCACATAAAAATAAAATAAATACAATAAAGGTATTGTGTCCAACTACAACTAAAAAAAAGACTTAAAAAAATTATATATGCTGGGTGGTGTGATATCATAGTTGTCAACTAGAGCCAGACTCTGCAGAGCAAGTCCCTGCTCTGCCACTGCCTGCTGTGATGACCTTAGGCAAGTCTCTTAATGCCTCTGAGAATCAATTCATGCATCCACAAAACGAGGGTGATACTTCCTAACTCACAGGTTGGTTGTATTAAATTAGTAACTATTACTGGGCTTGGTGGTTGCACACTTGTAATCCCAGTTACTTGGGAGGTTGAGGCAGGAGGATTTTTCAAGTTCATCAGCCTAAGCAATTTGGTGAGAACCTCTCTCAAAATAAATAAAAAGGACTGGAGATGTAGTTCAGTGGTAAAACATCCCTGGGTTCAATCCTCAGTACACAAAGAAATAAATAAATAATCTATTACCACATGGAAAACTGTTAGCATCAGGCCTGTAGTAAACACTAAAAAATGTAGTTGCTCTTGTAATTAAAAAATACAAAAGAAAACATGACTATTAGGACTGGGATTGTGGCTCAGTGGTAGAAAGATTGCCTAGCATGCGTGAGGCACTGGGTTCGATCCCTGGCATCACATAAAAATAAACAAAATATATTATGTCCATGTACACCTAAAAAAAACACATGACTATTAGATCAGCTATATTGGAGTTAGGAGACTTTCTTGGCCAAATATGTGAAATATTATTAAAATAAGTTATTTTCTCCATCATTAGAATGCATCTGTGAATGAAAAAGGGAAGATCTCTATTTTCCCGCAGCTTGCACAGTGTCAGGGAAGACAGGTGAATAAATATAATAAAAAAAAATATAGGGGCTGGGGATGTGGCTCAAGCGGTAGCGAGGTTGCCTGGCATGCTTGCGGCCCAGGTTCGATCCTCAGCACCACATACAAACAAAGATGTTGTGTCCGCCGAAGACATCCCCAGCCCTCTCTCTCTCTCTTAAAAAAAAAAAAAAAAAAAAAAAAAAAAAAAATATATATATATATATATATATATGAATGAAATAAGCAAACCGGTGGCGCCTGCCTGGGGAGGCTGAGGCAGGAGGATCGGAAGTTCAAAGCCAGCCTCAGCAACGGTGAGGCACTAAGCATCTCAGTGAGACCCTGTCTCTAAATAAAATACAACATAGGGCTGGGGATGTGGCTCCGTGGTTGAGCGCCCCTGAGTTCAATTCCCGGTACCAGGAAAACAAAAACAAAAACCAAGATAGGATGATCAGGGAGGGCAGGGACATATGAGGTGCAGGGAAAAAGAGGAAGGCAGAGCAACAAATGCAAGGCCTTGGGAAGGGAGGAAGTCTCCAACCCAAAAGCAAACTCATGTGGCTGCAGCCAGGGACACCGAGGTCTGGGCAGAGATAAGAAGAGCGGTGTTCACCTCTCAAGCAGAGCGGATTGAACGTACGCCCGGGGTTATCAGGAAGTCATCCACTTGCAGTGATCTCGGACAAGTCACTACTCTCTCAGAAGCAAAGGGAATAATTCTTTGCTTCAAGAGGTTGCAAGTTTCAAAACAAACGTTAGTGTCAGCGCTTTATACTCAATCATAAGGAAAGAGGTGCGGAGCATAGCTGGGAAGGTGGGAGGCGGGCAAACCGCCGCAATCCCGGCCGGTGGGAGGAGACTCAGACTCCGCCCCTCCCCGCCCCGCCCTTCCCCGGACCGCTCCCGCCTCTTTTACCTCCTCGTCCCACCCACTTCCGCGGGCACCCAACCGTGCGTCTCCTGCGTGCTGACGTCAGGTGCGTGCCCCTGTCCGGCAGCCGAGGAGACCCCGCGCAGCGCTGCCAACGCCCCGGCGGAGAAGCTGAGGTGAGTGCGGGGCCTGAGGCTCCCAGCGAGAGCGGCTCCCCCACCGTCCGGTCACCCCGCGCGGTCCCCCCAGCCCTCTTCGGTCTTCGAGGGCGTCGGGTCTCTGGGGCCCCCGGGGGGCAGGGGGCATAGAGCGCTGGGCAGCGCCGGGCTCGCGTGCGCCCGCGGGCTCGCGCGGGTCCGGATTCTGCGGGAGCTGAGGGGAGGGGTCGCGGCGGGGCGCTCGCCCGCGGGAGGTGCGCGGCCGGGCCCGGGGTGCCGGACTGAGGGCGCGGCCGGCCCGGGCTGTCACCGGCAGCGGCGGAAGGAAGGGGTCACACCCATCCAGCCGCCGGCTCCCCTCCCCCTCCCTTCGGCCCTCGGGCTCCCGAGGTCCTGCGGGCGGGATGCCGGGCTCAGGGCCGCAGGACCGCCTGCGGGCGCTTGGGCGCCGGGGCGGGCTGTGGCCGGTTCTCGGAGCTCGGGGGCTGGGTCCTGCCCGCTGCGCTCCGGCGTGGACTTCCTGCTTCGCGGGGCGCCGCCGCGGACATTTTGCGGCGGGCGGGGGAGGGGAGCGGAATTGCGACCGCGGCGGGGAGGGTCCGCCCGGCTGCCGGCTGGGCCACCGCCGGGCGCCGCTCCGCCCGGTGCTTGGCTGGGCAGGGCGGGTCCCTGCCCGGCGCCCCCGGTTGCACCGACTCCTGCCTTGGGTTGAGTTCCTGGTCGTGCCGTTTGCTTCTCAGACTCTGCTCTTGTTCAGCTCAGGCTTCGCTTTCAGGGAGTTACCTAACCACCTCCCGAAACCCTCGTCGGCCGCTTCCTTAATTCCCCTTGCTAGGGGGAAATTTTCTTTGTTCGTTCCCCCCCCCACCTCCCCTTTAAGTCCAAGAGAAATGCAGTGTGGAAGATTACGTCATCGCAGTATATAAGGGGTGAGAGTTTTAACTCCTACAAGTCAGGGGCTCACCAAGTTAAGACAGCTTCCTGCGGACTTGGTCCGGCCATCACCCAGGGGCCCGTTCTGCCGGCTTCCCAAACACATCGGGTTCAGACATGAGGTTTTGAAATCCTGGTATCTGCGTTCTTGGCCGCTTCAAATGTGTTAAAAGCCAGGAAGGTTAAAACATCTCAGAATTAGTTTGTGCCAGGGAATAAAACCTAAGACACACCATCTGTAGTCTCTTAGGCGTTAACTTTAAGGTCCCCAGTCAACTTATTTGAGGGAGCAATTCCTTGGTCCAAAATGGCTTTCCTAGACTGTTCGACTTCTCAATGACTTATTTGATGTAGAGAATAAGCCCAAGTCTGCTCAAGCTCCCTCTTTGTGGCAAGGATATGTTGAAAAGAGCACCAGTTATTTTTATGCCTAATCTTTGTTTGCTGGGGACTTTAGTGTTGTTACTAAAAATGAATTTTGCATTTTTAATCAAAGAAACCCCGAGTAATATTAACATTTTAAAGCAAGTGAGATCCAATTATATTATGCTTCTTTATAATCAAGGGTAGCTCCTGTTGGAACAACTGCTTTCCCATTGTTACTCATTTGTATATAGAGAACAGATTACTTGTTAAGAAACACTTAAAAGGAGTGGTAGGTTGAAATCAGATTTCTGTAGTATGTAGGTGTTACAGAAGATTGGATAGGTATGGAGCTTGGATCTTTTGAAATACATTTGTTAACTTTAACATGGTATCATATTTTAGAAGCATAAAATTGGAACACTTATCTATTTCTTGAGTCTTCTGCAACAGATTTATATATACACACATTTGTCTCTTATATTAACAATAATTTGGATTTGCAATACTTACACTGAGACAAGAAGATAAGAGATTGGTAATCACATATTAAAAATGAGCTCCTAGCCAGGTGTGGTGGCTCATGTCCTACTCTGGAGGCTGAGGCAGGGATATCACAAGTTTAAGGCCAGTCTTGGCAACTTTGTAAAATGCTGTCTCAAAATAGAAAGGACTGAGTGCTCCTAGGTTCAGTCTCCAGTACACAGGGGCAGTGGCGGGGTGGGAAATGAGCTGCTTTCCATTAATTTTTTTTTTTTACGATTTTTTTTTTTTTTTTTTTGGTTAGACACGATACCTTTATTTTATTTATTTATTTTTATGTGGTGCTGAGGGTCAAACCCAGGGCCCTGGGCATGCCAGGCAAGTGCTCTACCGCTGAGCCACAACACCAGCCCCCATTAATTTCTTTAAGGCCTGAAAGATCAAATCCTCTCCTTACCCCTAAAATATGTTTTCATATTATGGCCAACACCCATGCTTAGTAAACCAAATTATTTTTTAGGAATCTAAACCAAATGTTGCAGCCTAGAGTAATATGTGGGTGTGAATTAGTGTGATTCTTAAAGCCCATCAAGACCATATATTGAAATTTTTGCTTCAAGATTCATATTGCTTTTTTGGGATATTTTTTCCACTTATAATTGTATGGTATATTAGGGAATCATTTATAGTTATTTTTATACTACAAAGTTACACTAATAAAATGTTTTGATCCAATAGCTGTCAAATTTGAGAAACTTTGAAGTACCATTACTTTGCCTGGTCTGGATTGTAATATATGTATATATATATATTTTTAAAAATTTTATAGTTGTACATGGACAGCATGCCTCTATTCTATTTCTATGTGGTGCTAAGGATTAAACCTAGTGCCTCACACATTCTGGGCAAGTGCTCCACCACTGAGCCATAGCCTCAGCCCCTGGGTTGTAATATTGACAGGCTTTCTTAAAAGTAAAAATCAAATTGTACTTTTCTTTGTAGATACATTTTAAATGAATTTCTCTATTGATTATCCCTAGAGGATAAGGAAGACAATAATCACTTTAGGCTACAAGACTTTGTCTGATAGGGAGGGAGGATTAATATTGTGTTCACTTATGCTCTTTATATACCTATATATTAAAGGTCTCCATTGTTTTATGATAATGTTTATTCAGTGTTTTCTTCCAAATATATTTGGTAATTTCCCCTGTTAGAATGTGAATTCCAAGAGACTGGGGCTTTATCTTGGTATGGCATCACGGATTTCTAGCACCTAGAATATTGCCAGACACATAATAGATTTCAAGAAATATTTATCAAATGAATGAATTTGGTGATGTCAGAGTGTTAACATTTTCTCTTTCTGAATATTTCCTAGGCTTTCATGCTGTTTTTTCTGAGACAAGTTTTGTGCTTGGTCAGCTATATCCATATTTGGGCCCATTGAAGTGGTGATTACTAATCTCTGCTTTACCTTCTCCATCTGTTAAGTCCTATATCTTCTGCAGCTGCACTATCTGTGGACAATTTGCCACCATTTAGAAACTCTTTTGGTGATTAGCTTATTCTCCTAAAAATTATTCTGATTTAACATTTGTTTCCTTATCTTCCTCTATTTCTTTATTTCCAAACAACAGCTTAGTTTTGCTGCTTCTCTACACTATCACATTCTTGGTTCTGTTATGCTTTGTCTCTTAGGAGTTTCTACTTTTAGTTGCTCATGTCTTTAGTCCAAAGGATTTTTACTAAAACAATTTTTTATTAATGCCATCTCAGCTGTGTTTGCCATTGCTGCTATTGTAAATCCCAGATGTCAGAATATTTCACTAGTTGCTCAGAACATTGTTTTCACTGCTTAATTAGATGAAGTGAAATCAAATCTCTTGCCACCAAAATGGTATTCCTCCTTGCAATTTTAGAAAAAAAAATATTTTAACCTATTATTGGCTTTATGATTATGCAAAATTCCAAAACAATTTCTTTTCCTTCTCTCCTTTCCTTTTGTAACTGCTATGTTGGGCTGGGTTTGTGGCTTAGTGGTTGAGCTCTTGCCTCGCATGGAAGAGGCACTGCATTTGATCTTCGGCACCATATTAAAAAAAAAAAAAAATAAAGATATTGTGTCCATGTACAACTTAAAAAAAAAACAACAAAAAAAACTGCTATGTTGCCCAGGTTGACAACTCTTGGGCTCTAGTAATCCTCCCTCAGTATCTCAGATAGCTGGATTTCCAGGCATGTGCTATCACACCTGGCCAGAATGGTTTCTAATACAGCAAAAGATGAATTGTTAAGTTATGGATTCAGAAAGTGTAAGTGCTCTGTCACCTGAATAAAACCTCTGATTTAAGCTGTGTTGCTCACTTGTGTATGTCACCCCCAACCCCATACTGGGATTGAATCCAGGGGCACTCTACCATCCCTACATTGCTAGCCCTTTTTATTTTGAGATAGGTTCTTGCTAAGTTACCCAATTGACCTAAAATTTTTGGATCCTTCTGCCTCAGATTCCTGGGTGGCTGGGATTACAGGTGTGCACCACCACATTTGGCCTTGCTTTTGTTCTTTAACACTATGCACTTTAACACCATTTCTCAAAGTAAGCCATTTATTTCCATTTGCCATTTTAATTCTGCTGCTGTGTGTCCTTGGGAGATATACTGCTATTATAGTGATTCAAAGTGTAGATTTTCATTTTGTATTTTCTGGGTCCAAATTCTAGCCTTACCATTTATTAGTTAAACACAGTCTAAGTAACATCTTTGTGACTCTGGTTTTCCTCCTATAAAATAGAGCTGGCAATAATACCTATCTTACAGTGTTGAAGATTAAATCAGTTGATATGTGAAGTACTTAACTTCAGTGACACAGTGCTATATAGGTGTTGGCTCTCACTATTCTAACTTTTTAGACCCCCTCCAACCTTTGAGAAATTGTGTTTACTCTAAACATAAACATTTTAATAACCATCCCTCCCCCAGACTAAATCCATAAAATTTAAAAAAATGAAGTGGGTATGTTGCCTTTTCACTTTTTTTTTTTTTTTTTTAAATGTGTGGTACTAGGGATTGAATCCAAGGGTGCTGTACCACTGAGCTACATTCCCAGTCCATTTTATTTTTTGTTTCGAGACAGGGCCTTTTTCAGTTGCCCAGACTGACTGATCTTGAACTTGTGGTTCTTCTGCTTCTGCCTTCCCAGTAGCTGAGATTATAGGCATGTTCCATCATACCTGG